ATGTACCTGTTTCTACTATTTTGCAGTCTTTCAGAGAAGTGAAATTAATTCCCTTGGAAAACCCAACATAACAATGAGAGCATTTTTTGTAGTTATTACTGTCCCTGCTATACTGAGCAAGCACTAGGCTTGTGTCCATGTCCAAATGTCCTATGATACAAGTGTCTATAAAGAGACTGGATAGGAGTAACTTCATAACTACTTTGTTTTTGTGAAATGCTGTAGAGTATAGAGGAAGAAGAAAACCAATGTAATTTAAAAAAAAAAAAAAAAAAAGACACCAGGGAAAGTACTGCATGGCTGTCAGAGGCCAGCTTGCTGTGGTTTCTATGAGCAATCTCTATGTGTGTGCTTAAGATAGATCCTTGGAGGGGGGGGAAGAAAGGAGAAGAGAAATTAGGAAAAGCAAAAGAGGAAGAAATGAAGGCATAAGAGATATTAGTTACTGTCCTCTAGAAATGGTAAGGTTTGGCTTAAATCCCACCTAGGTCCTTGAAGTGTCTTTCTGTGCGTGATCACAATACATGGCTGAGGTTTTCTCTTGTGAATTGCAGCTGACTACTTTGGCCCTTCAAAATTAATCCTTAGATAAAATTAGAAGCTGGCACCATTTTTCAGCCTGTGCTGCTAAAAATACATTGCATTGATCCTCTCTCCATACTTTGGCATGCATGGAAGCAGAAAAAGAGTGGGAAGCTATTGAAACTGAGGCATAACAACATGTTCTGAAGTTGGACTTCTTCCGTGGCGATCAGCTGTGCAGCTCTTAAGGAGGCCTGGGAACAAAACAGATTTGGAATAGGAGTTTTGTGTGGCTCAATGTGTAAGAGCAGCTCCACAGACATCATTTGTCCTTCAGAAATGGAAGCCGTATATACTCAGTTATCTGAGAAATCTGCCGACTTTTGTCTGGCATTTGCATTTTCTTACTACTGTGGTAAATCCACAAAGTTGTAACCAGCCTCTGTGCTCATAGGGATGAAGAGCCAATGTGCAGGAGTTCTCAGCTTTGCTCAATTTTGCAATTCAAGGGAGAAGGGAGAAAAAACTGTATTAGTTGAGGCCAGATCATCTATTGCTTTACCTAGCATGCACTTTGTCTAACACAACTACATAGCTCATCTAAAGGCTTAAAATTTAAACTCTTGGCAAGAAGGATGCCTTTGTCATTCCCCATAAATGTTGCTGCTTGCTACATTTGAAGGGAAGATGGCAACTGTACATGCTATTTAATTGAAATCTTATGGAGCAACATCTAGGACCTGGATCATGACTAGATGATCACTGCAAAAACAGCTGTTCCCCCTCCTACCACTTGTGCCCAGTGCCGTTTGTTACTAACCCTCTGCCAGACTTTGGCATTCCCCTAGCATAGCAACAGAATGATTTTTCTGAGCACTCTTGTGATTCAGTGCAAAGTCAAAAAAAAATAGTTCAAACAATTTTTTGTGGTGCCTGACATACTGCTTAAGCAGATAAAGTTTATTTGCTCAGCCTATAGTACGTATTCTGCTTGAGGATGCTAACATGCAGCTGGTGAGGGAGAGAAGTAGGGTACAGAAATTTTGTTAATAATTATCTGAACACAGACCATTGATAAATCATTGAATTGTTAGGCAAAAGACTCTGGATCCATCTGTGGTAGTGGAAGATGCTTTTACATTCTGTTTCTCGTTACTACCCTCTTACCATACTAGTCTGTTGATAGAGCACTCGTGCAGGCGTGCTCCTGGATTTGTAAGCAAAATTAGCCAAATTGCACTAGCTGCAACACTTCAAAGTTTAGCTGGACTGATACTATGTCTTGCATAAGGAAAAACTCGCATGAACTCCGCTGCAGACAGACCAGTGAGGGCAATTTCCTGAATGAGCTGAATTCAGAACAGGCTTAAGAGTTGGTGCTGGTGCAAGTTTGCATCAGTGGTGGTGTAGTAACACAACTCAGTTCATGATAGTCTGCTTTTATTTATAGTGCTTCATAGTAATTAAAACGCATTCCTGAAAAAGAGAAACTTAAGTTGTAAGCTTACACTGAGTGTCCATATATTATTTTATTCCTATATACCTATTTGATTTATGGGGAACAAAATCAGTACATACAAAACTAAATCAGTACCACTTGATAAGTAGTAAGCTAATGGAATTTGGTTTAACTACTAAGTTTATTTGTTTTTAAATAAGGTTTCTAGTTGGAATGATCAAATAAGACAAAGGTAGAAAATATTTATAAAACCTTACTGTTATTTTTGTAACTTTGATATTACCAAATATCACAAAATAGCTGTTATTGATTTGACTATTACCCGTTAAACTAACATTTTTAAGTAAATGCCATTTATGTAGCCCTGATTCCTGAATCTTTTCTGTTATCCCTGCTTCATTTTCTTAATTTTATCTTTCTCTTTCCTATGGGAGAATATAGCATATACCTCTGCATCATTTTCAGTTCCATTCTCATTTCACCTCCTATCTCTTTCCTTTTCTCCCCACTCTTCTTCACTTCCACCCCTGCATCTTCTGTTTCTCCTTTCTTCTGCCACTTCTTGATTCTGTATGTGTACTGAACTTCTCTTTTCAAATTCATCTTATCAGTGTCTGTCTCTCTGCCTCACATGACCATCACTCACCCACTCAAACCAGAGCATCTGTGCAGAGTCTTGGAAACATTCAGGTACTTAAAACCTAGTGAGCTACTGTATTGGCATGAATATAAGGCAGGGAAAAAAAATATCCATGAAGCATATATTAGAATAGCCCCTGGTCTGGCTTTGCAACTTGTTTTGCATCAGCTCTGCACGCTCCCTGACAGGGCACTGTCCGCTTGCCAGACTTGTTGCTGTTCAAGCATTATATATGAAGCTTCTTACCCGGGACTTGGTCCAGTCCTCCTGCCTGTGCCAGCCAGCCTGCCTGACAGCTACCTGGTCTGCTGCAGGCACTCCAGCTGCCTTTGGCCACCAGACACCACCCCTGGCACTCTGGAAAGGGAAACAGTATGTCCATAATTGAAACACAGTCTTTGAAAATAAAGACTAGCTGTATTTTCTAAGTATTTCCTGTAAAAAATAAATAGATAAATGTCTGAATATATTACAAAACAAGTCGATTTTTCTCAGCATTAGTACTGTCTACCAAGTTGCTGGAAAAGGGACAGGTGTTAAAAATCCTGCCATGATGTTCAAAGATTTGAGCTTTTTTTTCCATTTAATGAGTTTGAGGATCCTGCCACTACTCCCAAAACAAGTTCCTGTTTCAGACTTTCCCTTTTCTCAGTTTTGTCTAGTTCATAAAAGATTTCCGATGCAAGCTTCCTTAACTGATTTTTCTCCTATAGTTTTCCACTTATAAAAACAATAAGTTGATTTATCTGCAGAAACAATGCCTCTGATGCAGCATGTAAGCAAGACATAAAAGAAAAACCTAAATTACTTGGTGTCATTTAGATGGTTCCATAAGGCTTCTATTGCAAACTAATAGATAGATCATTTCACTTCTCTGAATTAAGTTATGTAATTGGAAAAGTTAATATAATTTCAGAATTAAAAGCTAATGAATGGCTAAAAGTTTCTAGCTATAAAACATATGATGACTATTTAGAGTAAGGCAATGTTAATATGAATTAACATGTTAACAGATTATAAATTATTTTGTTTAGAAATTAAATGTTACTTTAACTAAAATGTAGAAGCTTGCATTTGGCAAAAGGATCTGATACCATAGCAACAGATGACAATTACAAGCAGCTTCCGGGAGCTGCCCACATTCCTTCTCCCTCACCCCAGCCTATCCATATCCATGGTGCAAGAGATTAATTTTGACCTCTGTTTTCTAACCTTCTGTGAAAGAAACGTACCCCTCTTCTTGTAAAGTAAGAAGCTCCAGTTCTAGATCACTTGGGGAAAAAAAAACCAAACAAACCCCAAAGTAAATCCATGCAGTAGACATGCTACTTGCTTATGTACTGTTACTGGAAGATTAGTTTTTCCTCAAGCTGTATTTCAGGTCGGACTGACATAGTATGGGACTATATTTATGGATTATATTTTAATTTGAAATAATTTGCTGTGCCATGTTTTTTAGATTCAACTACAGATTGATGTAGTCGGTGAGTTTTTAACAGTTTAAATGCTGTTTAAAAAAAAAACAGTAACAGTAAATGTATTAAGCCAAATGCAGCTGTCAAAACTGAAATATTCAGGTTGAAAATGAGTGTACTTAGCTGGAGAAACCACAGTGTACTTGTGTTTGTACTTTAATTCCAACCTGAAACATAAGTCTAGGAAACAGGACACACAGTTTTGTTTTAATTTGTAGCCAGCTGTTGCTTTATTTGCCGATGTTGAGATTTTTTTTTTTTCTTAATGTGCTTATAGGCTTAACGTATCACGCTTTTTTTGGTGGTAATTGTTATTGTAGTATCAGAGAAACAAGTATATAAGAAAGTTGTAGCAGTACAGATTCTGTTGTACTCTGTCTGCACTGACTCTACTCTAGCAATCAAAATTTGTTTCTGAGTTCTCACCTCATTATCATAGGTCTTTGGAACTATTGTGACAGTTATAAATTAGGATTTTCATTGTTGCTGCTAATTCTGATGTTGCTGAAATTTGTGTTCGCTGACCTTGGTCCTGTTCAGTGGTTTCAGTTCTAAATCCAAAGAATGTGCTACATCCAACTTATTTCTAAAACTATTAGAACAAAAAGCATTTAACTCCTTAATAATTTAAGAACAAGTCTACTGGAACCATAAAATGTGAATTGTGTATGTTTTAACTTGTTAATTAAAGAAGCAGTAATGGGAGTCTTAAAAGAATCAACTGAAATCTAACGTTATGCTCTTGTGCTGTGTTGTAGTCTTGTAATTTCCAGCACTATTTGCTGAATTCTTCACGTACTTTTCCTATAATCAGTCTGTAATTACCATGTGGTATAATTAGATTAATATACTTTCATCTGTTGCAGCTACCCATCAGAGGAAAATTTCGTACTTCTGCCTTTATATTTCTCCTGTATGAATGACTACAGAATTCTGTACTTCCATTAAAACAGCCTCAACTTACTTAGGTGAAGAGCAATCCATTTAATGATGCATGGAAACTTTCATTCTCTTCATAAATTTCTCTAGTGCTTAACTTTCGTTGTTTTTTTTTCTTGTTTTTTTTTCTTCTTAGTTGATGAGTACCAATGGAAAGGGCCCTTCTACTTCATCCAAGGAGCAGATCCTCAGTTTGGACTGATGAAAGCTTGGGCAGTTGGAGACACTAACAATGGAGATGATGAATGGGGAGAAGAAATCAAATTAGCAGAGCAAGCAGTGCAGGCCATTAACAAACTAAACCCTAAACCCAAGTTCTTTGTGTTGTGTGGAGACCTTATCCATGGAATGCCAGGTGAGGCAATTAGAAGTGTAGAATGGGGATTGTAACTCCATTTTCTTTACATCTCAGATTGGGAACAAGGCTAATTTAATTTCCTTGACTTCATGATATTCTTTAATAGAATTGGGTATGCTACTGGTTCAGTGTTTGCAAGAGAAGTAGGTGATTCTTTTCTTCATTTGACTTCCTGTATCTTTCATTTTAGCAGTCTACTTTTGTTGGTTAGCTGCTTCAGTGGGCCTGAGGAAATTTTCTTTGAGATAAGAGTCCTAAGAACACACATTAAAATTCTCTCTTCTAAACAAATTGCTTTGAGAAGACAAGTAGGGACTCTAGCCATTGGGGAAGAACAATGCCAAGAAAAGAACAAAAAGCATCTATGGCTTTTTGAGTATACCTAAAGTGGGAGAAGCTCAGAGAATTTTCCATCTTTCTAACACTTAATAAATTCAACTCCTTTAATATTTAAATTCTTAAAATGCTAAAAGTCAGGAAATTGTCATTTTAGAAGTCTGTCCTGTTGCTGTGGGACTTGGAGATCGGTATATTTCTGTGTACAGTCAGAGGAAGAACAACAGACCATCTAGATAAGTGGGTTACCAAAGTTTGACAGTTATAACTTTAGAACAGACTGGTAATATTTTCTATTTTAAGAAGATAAATAATCTTCTTGGAAGTGAAAGAAAAAGTGATGTTACCAGTTGACAAGTGGTCTGAAAAGCAGATCTAAGCACAGTGTCTTACATTTCTTAGCCTTGATAAGAAGCAGAGCTGCAGACAGCCTTAGCTATGTAGCTGACAGCACAACAATCCAAGTGAGCTTGCAAAGTCCTGTGTGCTTTGTGCTGCGCTCTGCTCTGCATTCCACGTGCACCTGAGGTGGTGCTTCCCAGCTCGTTTTTGCACAGCAAGGTTTTGAACGTGTTGGAGACCTTTCACTAATTCCTTCAGTGTCCTGCAAAGTGAATTTTAGAAAGTTAACTGTCAAATTGATAAGTCAAATTGATTGACATTATTTATAGGCTACAGACTTTCTTTTGACCAGAACACTATTTTAGTGATAGAGTGGGAAAGTGTAAAAACTAACAGATTTAAGTTTGATCGAATCTGCTGTGTTAACACCTCAGTATTGGTCATAATGTAAAGTCTGCCATTATGCAGTTGCTTTATTGGTTTATGTTCTTCCATTCATTTTGGAAGTACAGGTTTAACCCAGAATCATAAAATAATCTCTTCCGAAGAATCATATGGCTTTCCAATAGCAGAGTTTTAATTTGTATAAATGTTCCAAGTATGTTATTGTCAGTATCCCTTGTAAGAGAAAGAAAATTCAGGACAAATAATAGGTGTTCTACATCCTGTTGAGAAGGATCTTTCACTCATCAATTTAAATAATAGAGAAAGCTAAGTTAATTTTGTTTTATCTGGATGTTTTTCAGAGGCTTATGAAACAATGCAAAGTTCTGAGTACTTCTGTCAATTTTTATTTAAATGACATTATTCTAAGGCTTTTCTGTTGATAGAGTGTATATGTAAACTACAGAGAGCCAGCACTCTTCTGACTTCCACTGCATACTGAATGGCTGCTTCCAATAAATGTCTTGCATGTGGCAGTTTTTATGGGTTTTTTTTTTCTATTAATGGATATCTGTAGTCATTATTGTCCCTTTACCAATGTATGTCTCAGACTTTGGTAATATTTTTAGATACAAACCTGTCAGGGTTTTGTAAAATGTTATGATATATTATTCATTTTGCTAACAAACATGTAAAAGAAACTGTGAATGGATTGTGCTGCTGAGATCCTTACATTGTGTAATGCATGTGCTGTGTGTGTATAAATATTTGAAGCTGCCTAGTGCAATTTCCAAGAAATTGCGAGAAGGAGCAGTTCATTACTCACTGATCTTAAGGGTCTTTTCTAGCCTAAATGATTCTATGATTACCTCACTTGAGCCACTATATTTTAATTAACCTAATAATTTCTTGTTGATTAAAACTAAGTTAATACTTTGCAAACCTGTGTTATGTAGTTAAGATAATGTACTACTGAAAGGATTTTAAAATATTCAACTGGTGTCTTTGTTTTTACACAAACAACTTGCTATGCTGTGAGTTGGTAAACATCTAAGTTCAATTTTACAGTCATCCATTTGTCTTCATGTCTAAACTGATGAGGGAGAGAAAAGTGAATCGCTTTATGGTGCAGATACCTGTGGGTTAACACTGACTAGTTGCCTAGAAGGGCAGGGAGATGTGTGATACAGCAAGGGAGACAGAAATGCAGAGTCAGGAAAGCACTTCATAGAAGATAAATCTAAATCTGTACATTTAAAATATTTTGAAATACTTTAGTTTAAACTGAATGTGTATTTTGGAAGGGAAATAACAGTTTTTTCAAAAGATTTTTTTTCCTACCTTTTCCTCGCACTTCCTTCGCTTCTGGAATAGAAACTCCTTCAAAACTCAAAGAGTTAAAGAAAACTTAAAGAAAAGGTATTTTAAAGTAAGACAACTCACATCCTGTTTTAAAAATGTCTTATCGAGATCCTTATTGACAATTTCTTTGGTGTGGCTTGTTAATAGTCGTTACCGTATGAGGCATTAAGAAGCCAAGTTTTTGGCCTTATAAAAACTTATTTTCTCTGTATTCTTTTATCAAAATAAATATCTTCTGATGTTAGAAGTGAAATCTTTCCACATTCCTTGCAGCGAAAAACTTGGTAGTATTTGGAAAACTTGGTAGTATTGCAGTCACGTTTTCTGCCACATGCCGTGCTAAACTCTAGGGCCTGAGGTAACTTCTTTCTCATGGAGGAATGAATTATTTCTTCTCTTACACTAGTGTTTGAACCACTAGTGTATTTCTGTACCAGATAAAAAGCAGGAGCCATTGTATTCCACTGTCATATGGCACAAGTCTCACTCCGCTCATTACAGTATAATACTGTGCTTAAGATTTCATACTTTTTTACACAATCCATTTAAACAGTTTTAACTTAAAGTTAACACACAATGAGATAAAAAGCTTCCAGCAACTGATGAAACTCTTAAAAAATTTTGAAGAGTTCCATTTCAAAATTGTATGAGTAATATTGAAATTTGCCAGCACTTTCATTATTTGTTACAACAAAAATTTAAAATTTTTAGTCTTTCAGCAATACTATGTTAATGAAAAGGAGAGCAAATGGAGAATCTAAGAATTTTTATAGCAAATAGATTTTTCAGATAATTTGAACATATAAATGTTTGCAGAATTGAAGACCAGTAGTAATACTTCTTTTTCTGAAGTAATTTAAGTATCGTCACTATTCTAGGGAAGGATGTTTTAGACCTGTGTAACCCATGTCTGAATTAGAGTGGTACTGCAATCATTTCATACTTCTCCACTGAGGAGTCTCTCCAAGAGTGATTACCATGTCAATTCTCTCATGGTAGTTCGATAAAATGACGGATTTAAAAATTCATTTTTTCATTAGGCAAAAATTAGAAATGACACGAGACAAGACACTGATTTAGGTTTAACAATTGTGAATTTGGCTTGTACATGTATCTTATTTCAGGTCTCAAATTGCCTTTTAAATTACTTGTGTATATCACATATTAAAGCTGAAAATATCAGCATTAATGAAAGTGTATCACAGTTACTCTTGAAGCATGGTTATTGAAGAAAGCAATGATCAACTGAAGCTCAGCTATATTTTATGATCCATTGACCAATATCTATCAACTTCTTTGGGGATTATACTACTTTATAATCGATGCCTGTCAATAAAAAGAGGGAAAAAACCCTGGCTGTTTCTCTCTTCTCTTAATGTTTTTTCATGGAGTTTTAAGTGTAAGGTTTATGATGACTGTTTTAAAGCATGTACTGTAGCTGTTTAGCTGAAGCAGTGTTTGAAGCCTTTTGCAAAGGAACTCCAAGAAATCTCAGAATTCCAGCAGCTAGAAGTGATGAACAGAATCCTGATCAGCTGGGAAGCAATCAGGCACAGCACTTGGAATCCATTACAGATGTCATTAGAGCAACGAAGTAATCAGTGCCAGTATCTTGGTATTTAGCTGCTGATTAAAAGTAGTTTGTACTCTGAATATTATTTTCAGAAGTTTTTCTTGATTACATAATCAAGAATAGGATATCTATTCCTGGTAACGCTAATATTGTGGTACATAATCAAGAATTTTAAGCAATACTTTATAGTGCAACTGTGTTACTGAAAATAATTTCTATAAACTCGATACACCTAGATACACCTTACATGATAAGGAAAGACTTATTCCTGAAGACATTTGTGTGCATTAAGTTATTGTACCATAACTTAGTATGCAAAAATGGTAATCTGCAAAATGGAAAATATTGTTGATTGGATGTTTGCTTCACTGCATTTCTCTAAAACTCTGGAAGTATATTTCTAAAAATGTTTTTTCCTCCTATCAAGTTGGAACCTTCTGTATTGTTTTATGACAACTTTCCACATTGTTCCATTAACCAATATCCTTTGAGCCCAACAGCCCAGCCTGGTTTTCACCCGTATAGTTCTCCACTGATCTGACTGCAGCATCCTAACTCCACAACCTTCCAGTGATTATAGAGGTGCCTCACACAAACATCAGCCAGCTCTTTCTGTACTCTTGGATGCATCCTGTCAGGTCCCATGGACTTGATAGAGCTGAAATTTTTTCGGAGATACTTGACTGAACCCTGTTACACTACTAATATTTCCTCTGCTCCTTTAATGCTGAGAGAACATTTCAGTGAAGACAGGCAAAAGAAGCACTGAGTACCTGTCACTTGTCACTGCCTCGGTCAGCAGTGGGCCTGTGTTTTGTTTATTATTTTATTGCTATAGTAGTAGAAGCTTTTGCTGCCTGTCGTGCCCCTGGCTAGTTTCAGCCCTCAGCAAGCTTTGGGTTTCCCAACACTGCATGCCCAGGTACTTTTTCAATATTCTTTCTTTGAAGTCAGTCTTTGCTTGTTTTCCCTTTTACATCCTTTTTCCATCAATATTCAG